GAGGCGTACCATTGTGTAATACCGGCTATTTTTAGAACATTATTATTAAACTAACGGTTATTTGGACTTGTTCAACCATGAATCCTTCGTGGTCTAGTGGTTATGACGCTCGCCTTGTCAGCGAGAGGTCGCAGGTCAGAATCCCGTCGGAGGCATTTTATTACACAATGACTTTTTATAGGACTTTATTTGTTTAAAAGCTACAGGGTAGCCTACAATGTTCCATCATGTCCTTATTAAACACTGTATATGTACCTTTGATGATCAATATTATATTTATTCAACAGTGTGAATGGCTAACTTCCTTCAATATAATATCCAATATACGAAAGTATTTATTTGTAGCCGTATCTCCAGATTTATCTGGCCGAACGCCCTCTTGAGGCGTACCATTGTGTAATACAATGTTCCCGATGGTTATTTAGACCTGTTCAACCATTAAGCCTTCGTGGTCTAGTGGTTATGACGCTCGCCTTGTCAGCGAGAGGTCGCAGGTTCGAATCCCGTCGAAGGCATAACTGATATTATATTACACAATGACTTTTTTAAAGGACTTTATTCGTGATGTTCCATCATGTCCTTATTAAACACTGTATATGTACCTTTGATGATATATATATCGATACGATGAGAATGACTAGAGGAATAATATATATATATATATATATATATATATATAAATGAATATAAAGTTGTCAGTTCAGGCAACGTATAGTGCTCGATGCTATACAGAGCGGTATAATAATACTAATAATAAGGAACTTGTAATTTCACTCTACAGACTGTTTCATGCACTAGGCAATCTTCAGGAGTGAAAGGAATTTCAAATTTGACGTGTGTATGTAGAGTTGGACCGGTGTAGATGCAAATTATACACGTCAAATTTGAAATTCCCTTCACTCCTGAAGATTGCCTAGTGCATGAAACAGCCTGTAGAGTGAAATAACAAGTTTCTTATTATTAGTATTATTATTATTATTATTATATATATATATATATATACATATATATATATATATATATACTGTATATATATATATATAGGCTTATACATAAATTCTGTTAAAATGTAACTTACTATTCATTAGTAAAAGATACAATAATTAATGTTCAAACTTATGTAGCTATTTGCTATTTTTTTCAAATATATATATTACCGACCAGCCATAGTATACTTAGTTGACCTATGTGTGTAGACAGTGGCGTAACGATACCCCCTAGAGGTCCCGTGTGGTCCTTGTGGTATTTAGTAGGACCCACGCCTATGCGCTATCATGAGGCGGTTCGCAGGACACCCGATCCCTAGGTGCCCCGAAGGGGCTCTACCCATATGTTCCTCGATCTAGCATCCTGACCAAAAAGGACTTTGTTGATACATAACGCCATAATGTGTCTCTGAAATCGATGCAGGACATATAATATTATATCCAATGGCGGATTAAATGGGAGGGCGTCTTGTCGGCATTGGACCCCACAAAGTTTGTCAACAAAAAAAATTAAAAATGGAGATAAAAAGAAAATTATATTGACAATTTTAAGTCTGTCAATGCCATTTTCGGCAATCTAGACGTGCCTTAATCATATATTTTCTTATCTCAGCTGCACCAAGGGCAACAGCATAATGTGTTTCTGAAATCGTTTGTAGCACACAATTCATTATATCCAGTGGCGGAATAATAATTTTTAAAAAAGGGGGGGGGGAGTGGACCCAGGGCCCCACTAAGTTTTTGAAATATTTTTAAATGGCGATAAAAAGAAAATTATATTAACATTTATTTATGTCTGTGAGTGCCATTTCCAGCAATTTAGACCTGCCATAATCATAAATTGTCTTACCTCGGTCCCAAACATGGTGGGGCTAAGATGGTATAGCTTTCTCCAACTGTCAAAGTCCCTCCCTGGCACCTTTATTTCAAATACCTGGATCCGCCACTGATATTATATCATTTATTCGTCGTATAGAATAACAATGCAAACATGATTAAAAAACGAGCACATCTAAAATCCCACGATGGAATTGGCGACAGGATCCAAAAAGGGCCCAAGTTTCAGAAAGCCACAGGGCCCCAACCCCATCGTTACGCCACTGTGTGCAGATTGAAGAATGACTAAAGTCCACACTATCAAATGTTATGTGACAAATGACAACAAAATGTGACATGCCATTATTTGGGTGTAATATTAAATCATCATCATGTCCATACATATAAGCACATCACACGAAATTTGATAATGTGGACAGACCTTGAAACATGCTATGCGTGTATCATCTAAATCCAGAGACTAGGATATTATTTTTATCCATTTTCCCTTAATAATTATATATTTTTATATTGTTGGCCTTGTAATTTGCCACGGCCACACTCCTTGGTCGATATGATGTAATAGCTAGTCCAATTGGCACTTGCAACTCATCGGTGTAGGTATCAAGTCTTTTTAGAAGAACTCCATTTCTGTCGAACATAAGCAACCTACGATTACCAGAAACAATGATATTGCCATCTTTGTCATTTACTATACCAAGTGGGCACTTTAAACTACGATCATTATCTGTGTCTTTAATTAGAACTTCCCAAACATTCGTTACTTTATCTAAGATCTGAATCCTGTTGTTTCGACAATCGGTCACTGCGACCTTATCTTCAATTATTACCACATGATATGGTCGGTTAAAGAATCCCACGCCTTCACCATTTAATCCCATTTTCTCTATCATTTCTCCGGTTTCAACATTAAATTTCAGTACGCAATGCGCTTCACGATCAACGACGTATAGTACACGCGTGACCTCATCCAGAGCTAGCCCTACAGCGAACGTGATGACTCCCTTGCCAATCGACCTAACGGTAGTCCCATCTTTCTGGCATATGGTAACGCATTTGTTTCTATTATCACTGTATATTATATAATCATCTGTCCCTATGCCACACATCGTGTATACTGTTGCTCCAGGCGGCATTATAATCTTATCTACATATTTTCCCGTTTTCTGATCGAATCTAAGTACTTCCTGACTAGAGCTTGAAACCAAGAGATACCCTTCTTTATCAACCATTACATCCGTAACTTTTCCTTGTTTGTTATCTGTTTTATGAATTGCGAAATCATCAATCACGCGAACTAAACCTTCAATTTCTACACTAATGTGCATGGGCGATCCACTGATATTTACGCCATTCAATGAAACATGTAGCATCCACATGCCTGATTCTGGACAGCGGCATTCTGCTTTATATTTTCCTTGTCCGAGATATTCTACTTTGGCCAACACCTCTTCACCCGACTGAGCTTTCAGCTCCGCAAATATTTCGTCTTCTTTGTCCGGCACAGGTGCTGTTATTTTAACATCAAATGGTTGGTCCTTCGTAACATTAACCTTGCCATTGTTTTCGATTTCGAACACCTTATGCAAGTCATCTGTTTGACTAACGTATCCAAACTCAATTTCATGAAATATTTGCTGAAAATGGAGCACAGTATTGTATGTATCAATACCATCACGAGGAACGACTGGAGCAGATTCGATTGTTGATTTTAGTTTCTCCAGTACCTGATCCTGTGATTCCATAACTGCTCCAAGATCTGGACATCTCATTGACATGCTCACTACCTTTTTCCTGTGCGAAAGATCTTTAATACTTGAATCCATTTCTTGAATATGTTCATTAATCTTCAGGGTTTTCTCATCATGTATCCCTTTAAGACTTAATTTGAGTTGTTCTCTGTTGCACTCAAGCTTTCTTATGGCTTTATCAACAGCTCTGTTAATTCTACTTTCGCAGAAGCTACGCTCCATTTCAAATTGGTGCAACCTCTTCTGCATTTCAGATTTTCTTTCTTGAAGCTTGAGCTCATATTCTTCACCTCTGTTGAGCAATTCTGAAGCATTTTTCTTGAATTCATTGAAAGCATCTGATATTTGTATGACGTTGTCCTCACTGTGGCATTTTTTGTGTTCGATGACAGTACACTCAACGCAGACAGGGACGTTACAGCTATTACAGTAGAATTTGAGTGATTGCGTCATATGAGTTTTACATAATGATGGCTTTAATATACCTTGTTGTTCTGGGGTTAAGCTTCTGAGTTCTTCAAGTGAAAATATAGTATGCAATTTAAGAATGTCCACTGTACTGTGACTTTTGACGCACTCAATGCAGAAGTACTGGGTGCAGTCTTTACAAAACTTCACTGCAATAAGTTTGCAGTACGAACACTTCGCCTCGTTGTCTTCAAGATGGTGGACATATTCAAGAAGATTATTTATGATAGTGTTCGGTGGAATGCTTTGAAGACCACCGCTAGGAGCCTCAAAAGTTTCCAAGCAGGTGGGACAAACTGGCTGTTGTTTTTTCTCGATCCAATCCGCCAAGCAACTTCGGCAAAAGCTATGAAGGCATGGTAGAGTTTTGGGTTCACGAAGTCTCTTCATACAAACAGCACACTCTAGAACCTGGTCATCTAAGTCATCGATAACTGTACTTGCAAGCATCTTCTATAATATCTGCAAGTTCAAGAGATTAGGACGAATTACAAAAATCACTGGATTTCAAAATTACTAATAAGAATAATGAAAAAGAGAATAATGATAAAAATGGCGGCGATACATATTGACGATGATAATGCATGATCATAATGATGATGATGATTATGATGGTTATGATAAGGCAAAAAGAAAATGTTGTGTTGCCCTCTGCGACCTACCGAAATTTTCTAAAAAAATCGGGAATGCGTTTTTTTTTTTTTTTTAATTTTGTTCAAGTATAAATTCGAGAAATCACTCCCAAAATTCACATTTAAAACATATGATCTTAAACAGACATGTATTTTTATCAAAATCGGTCCATAGATGCACGCATAAAATCGGTAAAATAGAAGGCATAATTTGGAGAACCAAGCGCGACGATGATATATGCGCGCATCATCAGATCTCTCGCGCTGAGCTGTCGAGCCACGACCAGATATCTACGCCTAGCCTATTCTTTACTACTGTACAGCTAGCTAGTGTGGTTGCTTGAATCAAAGATAGTATTCATTACCTTACGGTATATTGGACAATAAATAAAAAACAGGATTAGGTCTATCCATCGCTTTAAAGCAAGTACATACCTAGACTTAAGCTCCGTTTACAGTTTTAGTCCAACCATGAACGAAATATTTTTCTCTTTTATATTTAATTGTATTACATAAGATAGTATAATACATACTCCAAGTATCGACATGCACGCCATCGTGTCGGGATTCAATATTTCGACATTAATAATGTCAGCATCAGGAATCAATTATGTAATTAATCAGGAATCAATGTACAGTATGTAATTACATAAAGGGCGCTCGTTTGGACATTTTTCATAGCCATAGTATGGTTTTGCTCGACCTGCCAGTGCGTGATTGTGTGGATCGGATACACATAATGTACAGTCCACCCTCCAATTCGAGACCACTCTGTGTATCTGGAATTGGGTGGTCTCGGAGTTGTCTCAAATTAGAAACCTCTAAATAGGGACCACAGGCTTGAAGTGGTCTCCAAGCAGCATAATTGGAGGGTAACCGAACCTGAAACATCTAAATTAAGACCGAAGATATTAAAAAGTGGTCTCCAAAAAACAACATATGGGACAACCATATTTATTTCAAATAAAGTGTTTTTTTACCAACTTGAAGCTGTTTAAAACACATTTTAAAAAAATCTGAACAGCATTCTGTAAAGAAAACATAGCATTTACACTGTATTTACACTTTTTGGCAATAGGTGCCAGCAGATTGTTGTAGGACATTAACTGAATATTTTATGACAGCCAACAATTTTTAGGTCTTTTTTTTTTGCCTAATGATGATGATGATGATAATGATGCATGATGATCATCTTTTGGATGATAGTGATGATGATGACGACAATCATAATGATGATGATGCATTATGATGAATCTAACGATTATGATAGACCATCATCATCATCATCATGTTCATGATTATGACCATCCCTCGCACTGAGCACAAATCATGTGACGCCAAAATATATAGAGGGACCATCAGAGGTGGCGTCGGGAAGAAATAAAATATATGTACTTTCTACATACTGTATTAGCCTAGTAATCGATAATAAATAAGTCTTTGAATTGTCATTTTTTCCGGGGACCACTTTCGAAACAATTTGAATGACGCCAGACCACGCACCCACTTTGCTCTCGTCGGTGATATCTTTACTTGCTTCTTCTTTGACGGGGGTTAATGGACCCATTCCCCTTACCCCTACCCTCTTCCTTAGCGCCTTCAATGGCTGCGCCACGAGCACTCATTGGAGCATTGCAATAGTGGGAGCAAGCTGCTGCTCCGGTTCAGTTTCAAACTAAGCACATGTGTGTAGGAGTAGGAGGCCTACGGTACCTCAAAATGAGTACATGCTGTAGGCCTTAACTTACAATAGACTTACCTTTTATTGCTACAAAATAAGGCGAATATAAGGAGATTGGCCGTACGCCAAAATTAAATCATGTGTGGGGGCTTCCGCCGGAGTTTATAAGCTACCAATGGAAATGTTATCTTAGAGGTCAAAGATTGTTTGCCTATCGTCACAAACCAATTCGGTAATTTGCTATAAATAGGCCTAGACTAAACAGAAAGTTATTATACCAGCTTACTTTGCTATTATAATAGGCTAATCAATTAATTCCTTGTCTACAAAAGCGTTGTAAATTCTAGAGTTTATAATATAAATAATCAAATACATAGATGAAATGTAGACAAAAAGGAACAATGTATCTCCGATTACGTAATGCAACGTCAATCTACTGTTATAGTCACATGGCTGTGATAACTGATTATCACGAGCGCATGACGATTAGGTCGTTGTAGTCCGGGTGCGGTTAGGCGTGCATTTTTTGTAAAAAAATCTTCCTTGAATTATAGCAAAATGTTTTAATAGAGCAATAGAAACATGCAGATTCTGAGTACAGTACTTTGAAAAAGAAATCAACGTTTTGTGATTATTGGTTTGGTTATTGAGACCCTATATTCTTAACCCTAAGTTACATTATTTAAGCTAATTTGCATGAATAAGCATGATGTCATTTTCAGAATTTGAACTTCTGATTATATGTACTCGTTTAGATAAAAGAAACATTTGTTTTGAATTTGTTTTACTGAAAATATATGCCCACCAAAATATATTTCAACTTCAATTTGACCTCAAATGACCTTAAATGACCTCTAAAAAGAGTTGTCATGGCATAAAAGTGCCATTATACTTATTAGCCAGTTTCATGAACCTACATCATAGATTAGTTATAAGGTAATAAGTTTTCTTTTGCTGGTTGGGGTTAACCTTATTTTGACTTGCATACTGCAGCACTTATAGCTGCTCTAGGCCTACTAGTTGTTGTTCTGATTTTTCAGAATAAGTAGTAGAATAAGCAAGTACTGTAGTAAGGTCAAAGGTCATATTTTTTGGGCAACATGACATTTTGGAAATTTGCAAGCAAGCCAAAAATGATTCTTAAACCAATTGAAGTCAAATGCTCTGGACCTTAAAGTGCATACAAAAACTGGTATGGCTACTAGTGTAGTCCTAATTTGCATGGATAAAGTTTGAAGATCCAAGCGCGGAAGGTGACCATAGTGCCTGACAGAAAAATACTGTGACTTTTTTTGCTAGAGCCTCATTTATACACTAGACACGACACGTTGATATGTCGTTGTCGTCTCGTAATCGTGTTTAGTGTAAATGCTGTCTCTTATACACATCTAGATGTGTATAAGAGACAGGCACACTCTAGAACCTGGTCATCTA